CAGAAATCTCAAAAGTGAAGCTCTCACCTGCTGCTCCTGCAGAGAGGAATTCTCTCAGCCGATGGAGAGGGTCTGCAGCATCTCACACTGCATGTGACGAACGTGGGAGGCCTCTCCCAGTCCCGCTGTGCGTGGGTTGCGTTCTCTGTTCTGCATCTGCTGTACTGCGTGGCTTGGCAGAATTCCCATTCAGCTCCTTCTCTCATCCTTTGCTGGGTAAGTAAGACTGACAATGTAAAACATCTCCCACCAAGGGACCTGCCCTGAGCTGGGTTTCTCAGCATTCCCACCATTCAAATAATAGTTAGGCTGGTCAAGGGCTGAGAATAAAGCCAGGAGCTGGAAAGGGATGAATTGATAGAGATTGTTCCACAGTAAATGCAAAAGGATGGTTGTTCAGAAGCTACTATAAGACAATTAATGATTACAATTTTCAGGAAGAACAGTAGTCAGTGCTTTTCATTTGTCAGGACAACAAAACAGTTCCATGACACAGACCTCACAGACTTGTATGCTTTGGTGCTAAAGTGCAGATAAAGGTCTTGCTTTCCCAAAAACCTTGAGTCTGCATGTACACAGACTTTATCTGTTACCCGTGTCATTCATTATCTGCATGAGGAGGGAGCCTTGAAAAACACCAGAACATCCACAGAACAAGATATAGTCTTTTAGCAGGACTCTCTGGAGCCATTGCAGTTCCCTTGGAGGCTGGGAGAGATGTACAGGTTGTTCCAGTGTGGAATGGCTCTAAGGCAAGACAAATAGTTTCCTAAATGAGGGGCTAATCCCACAGATTCTCTGGTGGAGCAGCTCACAGGCCTGGGTTTAGGGCAGCGTGCAGGCCAGGCACGTGCGCACTAACAGGTACCTTCAGAGATCTGCACTCTCTTAGGTTCAAAAAGCAAACTGGAGCAGGTTAAAAAAATCTGAAGAATTTGGCATAATAGGAGGTAAATCCAGCCCTTGCCAGGCTGGTAGAAATCCCACCTTCCCTTTGGCTTTGCAGACCTGCTGGCTGCAAAGCTCCTCTTTGAGAAACCAGGGAGCAGGGAGTTGGCCTCGCTTTGCCTTGGGCAATTAAGTACCTGTGTTCTGTTTGCTGCCCTTAACTCAGTATTTACAGACAGTGAATTTTCATTGGTTATTTTATTGTTTTTAATCTCTTATAAAATTACTCCATGAAACCTGGTGAGCCAAATGCTGCCTTGCTTTTAATGTGTTCAACCTTACTGACTTCATTTTGGAGGCTGAGACAAGCAGCCTTGTAAGACTGGAAAAGCGGCCCAGCAAGTGGGCCACTCATTTCAGTGAAGGTGGAAGGGAGGTGGAGTCTTTGCCCAGAGGCCTTGATTTCTGAGTGATACGAACCTCTTGAAAGAAGCAGAACACCTTTGGAAAATGAGCTTTTGTTATTTCTATCTTCCACCTTTGTCTCTGCTTTTTGGATGCCTAGTTTTTGAAGCAGGCTTTGTATTTTCCCAGCTCTTTGCCTAGCTGCAAACTCTAATCATCTGGAACTTTACTGCTATGGTACTACATCTCAAACAGCTGCCCAGCTGCTGGTGAAGTTTCCCAGGGCAGACACCAGTGCTCTCTCACCAGTTTCTTTGAAATCATCTGGTAGCAGCAGGCAGAGATTTCCCCTTTGTGAGTCACTTTCGCCTGTTCTCATGTAGCTGTGTTTCTTCAGTTTATTCCTCTCTTTTTTGCTACTTTTCTAAGAGTTTCAGTGGCAACCTGGGGGAACGTTTAGTAAAGGCAGGCGTTTTTGTCAGCCTTTTCACATGGATGATGCACAAAGAGCTGAACCAGACACCCCCTCCCCGGGGCTGATTCAGTGCTGCACAAAACCCCTCTGCCTGCAGGAATGCTAGGGATGAGCCCTGCATTCCTTAGTGACACCAAGATAAGCAGAAGCATGGGGAGAGCAGGAGAAGGTGAGGATGGTACCAGGCTGTAAAGTTTAAGAGATCAATGTTTCTCACTGGCCGTGATCCAAGTGATGGTTAAGGATGAAAATATCCTGAAAAAATCTGGAGAATGGCTTTTAAAGCCAACAAAAGAAAAGAAGTATTTTGCAGGTCAGTCCACAGAGCAAGCACAAGCAAGACATTTTCCTACAGAGAACAGGGAGAGAATGCAAGAACAGGATTATTTAGCGTGAATTTTCAGAAAACTATGCGGGGGGTGTGTTGTCCGCTGCAGTAACGCATGCTGAAGGCAGCGGTGAAATCCCCTACGGAATTTGTTGTTAGTAAGAACAGACAGCAGCCATCTGACATGGGTAGTGTTTTACCCTGACCTGACTTTGGTTTAATTAAGCACGATGGACAGAATAGGGTTGCAGCTAAACCGAGGTATTAGTTTCCTAAAGGTTTTTGTTATCATCTGAACAACATTCCTGTCCAGGATTTTGTCTCTGCATTGTGAAATTTCAGGGCAGACGCCCTTGTCCTGCTTTCACTCTCTCTAAAACATCTCACACATCTGGCACTGTGTAATTAGTAACATGGTTGCTACAGACCGGAGCCTATGGTCTTTAACCCTATGTATAAACCAGGTGGTACAAACAAGCGAAAGCCAAGTCTAATCAGGCTATCGCATGAGTAAGGGAGGGTGTGGTACCTCATGCGCATTAAGGGGAACGTCTGGAATCTGGCTGGGACATGCTGGGTGACGCCGGGTGGGATGAAAGATGACTTGAGATGCTGTGGCTGGCCCTTAGCTGGGCTGGTGCAGGTGCCAGGCAGAGCAGGCTGGTGCAGGCCTCCCCTTAAGCTGCCAACCCTATCCAGCCTGGAATTATGGAGGTGCAGGAGTGCCCTGGGTCGTGCCTTCCCGTTCCGACCTCTCCAGGGACTGCTTGTAGGAAGCGGAGCTACAGTCACATGCAGCGCTGAAAGCAGCTGGATAAAACCAGATTTCTTTCCTAAGTGTTCCTTACCTATCATGGAAAAGCCTTGCAAGGTGAGTAGAGCACGGAGAAAAGACAGCTAATGATCTAAAAAATATGTGGAGAGAGGACAGCAGCAAGGGATCATTCCCTTAAAGCTAAAATGACAAAGGGTGGGGCTTACAGCCAGCCAGGATGAGCTGGCAGAGCTCTTCCTTGCAGAGCAGCAGGAAGTCTTTACTTGAAAGACTGTGACACATGGAGTGAGATTGAGGGAGGGGCAGGAAAGAAAATGGAAATATTTGATAGTTTCTCTGAAATCCCAGTCCAGACAACTTGGACTGCAAGTAGGCATGTTTGTTTAGCAGTAAAATGAGCCACACACTCTGCTAATGAGAACTACATTAAAAGTTTCTGTATCTTTGCATTCCTGTGTTCAGATTATTATCAGACAACAGATGGCAACTACAGGGCTTCCTTGCAACAGTTGTGTGACAAGCTCTGCTCCAAGAGTGGCAAGCATGGGGCTGGGCTTCCCGCTGAACAATTTATGGGAGTCTTGTCATTGCCGAATGAGGGGCTCTAATGTAGGCATGGTCACGATCCTGACTGCAAAGTCTAGGTGGAGGCTGAGTCTGGAAGAAGGCTGTGTGTGGAAGAAGTGCTGGCACTAAGATATGCATCCAGCTCTCCCATGGCACCCTTGGGCAGGTTTTAAATATTGCAAGTGTTTGAACTTGGACTATCTCTTATAGGCGTTTCTCAGACTGAAGAAAAACTGGATGGTCCCTCAGCCCCTGTGTAAAAAGTGCTGAGGAGAGGGAAATACAGAGGACTGGGAAGCAGGCTGTATTGGCTCTTTCTTTTGCAAAATGTAAAGCTATAGTTTGTTTACAATGGCACAAATTGGGAGTGATTCCACTGCAGCCTACTGGCAGGCACTGGAGAAAAGCAGAGGACATGACAGAAAAATCAGGGCTATCCAGTCCCAGTGACATTTATGAATTAGGCAGTAATTTCTGCAACATCTTTTGGTGATATGACAACACCTGTCCATTGTATTTCTTCAGATATGTGAAACCAGTTTTGGTTTGTCCAGCAGTTTCAGGAATCCTCCTAGCTTCATTCTCTCCTTGCCTTACCAATCACTACACATTGCAGGGTAGAACCAAATTTCTTTCAACTTGGTGGGTATGTGTGGCTCCCTCCAGCAGGCAAAGCTGGTCTGTTCCTCAGGCACAGTATCACCGAGTAATCTGTTTGTATTCTGTATTACATACACGAGTAAGATAATTTCTACAGGCGTTTCAGCTCCTCATTCATGAACAAGTTCAGTTTAGTTTCGTTAGATGTCACAGTGAAACAGAGTAACAGACAGGAAATACAAAAGCCTACACTCAGAGGCCTTTTTAACAAGCAAATAATTTAAAATAGTACCTAAAGCATTTTTTTCAACCTGGTAATTAACAAAGTTCCTCAAAAGATCAATGTTTTGAATCCAGTTTTGCCAAGATTAATGCTTTGTTTTAGGTGTCTGGTAGCTTCTCTGGCTTTAAGGGAACTGCTTATGTGGATGAAGGTAGACACAGGTGCTCCATTTTTGAACAGTTGTGTAATCCCTACTTGGGTTGTGATAGCTCAGTCTGTAGGACTTTGAAACACTGATGGAATGTTTTCTGTTCCCAGTGCAAGTGTTAGACAAGTAATGTAGCTTTGAAATACATATTTATTCAGCTTTAGTTCTGCTAAATGCTGGCCTTTCTAACAATGGCCAGTTCAACAGTGGGAGTTGCACAGCTGTAACAGATAAAAAATTTGCTGTACAGTATCCTCAAGTTACTTGTTCTGGATGCTTAAACAGATTGTTGTAATTAAAAATACTAGATTCAGAAATACCCAGTGGCTAGACACTGTTTATTAAAAAACTTCTGGCTGTACAAAAGGGAAATAAAGACCATTTAATTTTCCTAATGTTGATGATGGAGTTGCCATACTGCATCCAGTGACCTTGGCTTCAATATTTCACAAAACCTGTAAATAGTCCAGTAATATTACAAGATGGATTGACATGTACAACATTTGTTAGCAGTTATCAGAGAGATTTTTGTTTAATCTCTGGTCTTCTTAGCTGTAGGGAGAAGCAGGCAGAGGGAAGAGAGTACTTCACCTCATTCTTGACCTCCAGTTAATTTATGGAACAGATCTTCGTCCAGTGTTTCATTCTGGTCCTTGGAGCGGGTGGACAAGAAGATGTAGCCCCCAATATACTCATGGATGATTTTGCAGTCTGCGCTCAGACACGTGAAAGCGATAGATACATTCTGATCAAACTCGATTGCAACCTAAAGAAAACACATACGGCAAAATCAGAAACAGAGATAGGCTGCATCTGGGGAAAAAGAGCAAGCGGGAGAGCACAGCTGGACCCCAAATGCTGTGATAAAGCAGTACCTGTCTCTGCTGAGCAAGAGCTGTAAAGATTTCTGGATCTGCAGGATGTTGAGTGTTTGGCTGCCTCTTTCTTAATTTTCTACTACGGCAGGGCCCTCTTGTGGTCAAAATCTTGTTGCTTGTTTAGACAGGCAACAAAAACATGCTTTTAACTAGTTTTTCTAATGGTGTATAAAGTGAACACTGAGAAGAGCAGGAATGTCACTCCCGACTCTTTGTATGCTTAACCAATAATGTTTAATACTCTTCATTGTTACGTGCTAACCTTAAATCTGCTTTTGGGGGCCAGGTTTTTATTTCCAGCTACTGTCAGTTCTGAAACCCAGCAAACTGGGGTTAATTGCTAACTGTGGATTCTGCCTTTTTTGGGAGGGATTTAAAGCAAGCCCAACAGCTTGCCCCAGCATTACAGGCTCTGGCAAAGGAAGTACTGCAGGAGAGTATTAGGGATTGTATCTGATCTCTCCTGGCTCCTGCAGGTGGATGTGGAAAACTGTATAAGCAGAAGCAGTTTCCAGGCTGCTTGAATTTACATCAGGTCACGCTAATTCCACCCCAGAAATCTACAATTTACAGAGCTGGCTTCAAGCTTTCAAACCCAAACTCTCCAGTGGACTGCTGGGCAACAGCTGGCTGCCCTGAGCAGCCTTCATCAGGGTCAGGAGCATCCTGGTGTAAATCACACAACGGAACTTCTTTCTCAAGACCGCATACTGACACAGAGGAGCTTGCACCCTGGCCTTGCAATCTCAGTTTGGGATTTGAAAGACAAACTGGGTTCCTGTATCCTCAGTCTCTAATAGACACTGAATCACCACAATTTGGAGGATGGTGCATGAGCTACACTATACAGAGAGTTAAAATGGGATTTTTACTGTGACAGAGCAGTAAACATAATGGGTTGGAATTTACCTTTGAGTATTTCACCCCATCAAAATCAAGGGCAACTTATAAAGAATAAGCTTGGTAGGAACCTTTTAAACTGGAGATATTTTCCTTTCTGAATTTTGACTACTGACTCCATTAAGAAAAATTTTAGACAGCTTATTTAATAACATGTCACAACACATTCAAAATCTTTTTGCTCTGAGGCTTGAAAAGATTTTCTGAAAGCATCCTCCAGTGTCTGAAATGTAATGACTGAATGCAGAGAGCCGTTCCAGTTTTACCTGGCGTATTTCCCAGTTCACATTCCACTGCTTCATGTTGGAGAACCTCCATGTTGTGATAGGATCTCCTGTGGCTATATCTATTCGTATCAGCCTGTTATAGGACACCCCAAGCACATCATCCTTTTTGCTTCCTTTAAACCTGAAAAAAACCCCAAACCTTTGAGCAGATCTGGTTTGCAATAATTTCTAGAGAAATGTTTCACCTGCCCTCCCCTGAAAGTGCAGAAAATGTGGGAGAAGTCACAACAGCCTGGGATTGAGGAGAGCTTGGACCCTTCTTTAGAACTGTATTTGTTATAGAGCAAAAATGTAGGCTGGTGAACCATGGTATAAGATGTAAAAGAATCAAGCAGGTAGATCTGGCTGAAATCTTTCCAATTCATTGTCTTCTGCTAAAAATGACTGTTCTGCCAAAATGCATGAATTTGATTATATTTTTACTGGGAAAGTGTCAACAATAATTTTCCTTGCTTCATTTCACTGATGTTGAAACATGTTCTTTTAGTTATATTCACCTAAATTATATAAGCATATCAAAATATATTTAATATTTTATATTATGTATTGCTATTAACTTAGTGAAACAACTGTTAGTGATATATGCATGTTTCTGAATATAAATCACATTACAAAAATATTCAGCCATTTTAACATTTCAACTTCTGATTAGAGATGAAAAATAAATATAAAAGCATCAGAACTTTCAGGGGACAGAAATTTCTGAGTTGGAAATAGCTAGGAAAAGATTACTCTGGTAAAGAAACCACCTTCCTCTACCTTCATGCTGAAAGGTAGAAGAAATCTCATCTGTCTGCTGTTAATATTTCCAATATTTTTGATCCTGTTGCTGAACCTTCTCTCCTTAGATGCAGCTGGCCCTTCGGGAAAGAATGTGACCTGGACCAAATTTGTGCCTTACTTAATGCCCCGACTGAGATACTGCTCATCAGTTTGTAGAAAATTGCCACAAGGTGTTTTGCTCATGCTACAAAATGCAGTTTAGGTGTCGGCTTTGTTTGTTTAACAGAATTAGTGCTGACGGATAGGGCAAAACATCTATATTTTTGTTAGTAAATTAGTGACAGGGAACATTCCTGGGCACTGAACTTGTATTCTGTTCAATTGCTAGAAGAGTCCCAGGCAGAATTCTGGCAGCAACCAAGCAGTGCTCTCTCAGATGACTCCCAGGTACAGCTCAGGAGCTGGAGCATCCAAGGACCAGCATGATCTGGTAGTTCATATGAGGCTACTGGGTTTTGGGAAGTCAGAGAGTTTAATAGTACAGATGTGGGCTGTTCTACGCCAGCTGGAGTCTGTGCCCGAGAATGGTTCCCAGCTGGTTCAATTTACACCACAGATGATTCCTAAGTAGCCCTGGAAGAGGTGTTAAGCACAAATTAAGGAAGATGCCTCCAAGTATGGTTGTGTCAGTACTTTTCAGTTTTTTGGTGTTTTGTCAAGAAGAAAGAATGCACGTCGGAACCCTGCCATATTCAAGGTAAGTGTCCAGGGAAACTGCTGTGAACACAACAGGACCTTTCTTGTGCTTACTGCTCTTCCAGATTCACCTAAAAAAGGGATCGTGTTTGCTGTTTCTTAATGAAATGCTGAAGAAATTATGCTCAGCAAAAAGCTTTTTATCACAAAGTCTGATCCAATTTATCATAAAATCTGATCAAAAAAATCTGATTGTAAAATCTGATCAATCCAGCGAGCAAGAGTTGGAATGAACAAATATACTGCGAACCTGAGAACACCAACAAGACATGGATTTTTTACATTTTAGTGAGTTTATGTCAATAAGGGTTTAATCCTAGTGATATGTTACTTCAGGCAAAACCCAACAGGTCTGTATGAAGGCAGACAAAATGGAGAGTCTCACTCCAGAAGTGGAGCTACTGAGTGCTACTGCTATAGAAAAAAACAGCAGTATGGAATTTACTCGAATTAAAAAAGGTCTGTGGGGGAAAAAATAGAGAGTGTTTCCATAACAGGGAGTCAAAGAACTTCCTGCAACTCACTGAGTGTGAACATGTTATGGCAGCTTGACATTGCTGTAACAGTGTGATTACCTTACAATGTAGTAGGATAAGCCAAACTCGGGGAGGGACTGCCATGCTTGAATAAAACGCAGCTTGGCCTCCACTAGCGTCATCTGGGATACGTTTTGGTGGGCTTCCAGAATACGAGCAGCCAACTGAGAAACACAAGAAGATAAAAACGTTTCAGTTGACTGGAGAACAAAAATACCCTTGCTTTCACTAAATCAAACATCATTAGCTCTGATGCCACATTCAGACACTTAGCCATCACTGTTGATGCAGATGTACTGCAGAGAGCACTTGGGGACAGATCCTGAGCTACAAGGGCAGAACAGTACTGCAAGGTCTCAGGTCCAGGTTTGTGCTGCACTGGGTCGAGCTCCAGTATACTGCTCTGGAGACTGTGTCCTGAGGATGGGTGGGCTGAACTCTTTTGCAGCAAAAGCAGTGGACAAGGAATTAGGTGGAGAGGAAAGAGAGGCACCCAGGCCAAGAGGACAGGAAGACACTGTTGTTTAAGATGCAGACAGTAACTTCCTGTCCTTAAAAACCTTCCTTTATTACTCTGAAGAGACTTTCAGGGACAGTGTTATCATCAGGAGAACATGATGAGTGACTTAGGAGGCGGTGTGGATGTAGGAGTACTCGGAAGAAGTGCTGAGAGACCTGCCCCTGTGTTCAGTTTAAAGAAAAGGCCTCTTGCAAAGGGACAAATGAGTACTGCAAGATGATTCTACTGTATGGTTTCCAAATGCTGCTTCGATCCAGCCTCACCCCTAAGCAATCATTGGAACCACCCATACCCAACCATCAAGCTCAGGATACCTGCTTAGACTTGTATTTTTTGGTATAACGTAGTGAGACGAAGCATTCTGGTTTCATATCTATGCTTTCTGGATCAGAGACAGCCTGGGGAGACATGGTCCAGTTCTTCATCTTTAGAAATGAAAGGATCTTGTGGACCTCAGGATGATAAGAGCTATCGGCCATTGTTTTGCCTTTTGAGGCTAAAACGCAAGCAGCCATCCACCGAGCATATTGATTCTCCTGCAACAAAGACAATTGTTTGATGTTTTTGGACAAACTATTTATGAAGATTGTTACTGCTCATGCACCTTTCACTGCACGATAAAACCACTCTGGAGTTATTCCGCTTAATTTGTGTGGATGTGTAATTACTATAGTACTATTGTTCTTCACTGATTGGGCTAGTTCCACCTACAGGACTGCCTTTGCAGAATAGTTAGGTTTTAAATTTTCAAAGAAATCCAGTACTTTGGAATAGAGTCTTTTGGAAATTTTATTGCATGACTATTTTCCACCTAAAGAACATTTTTACACAGTTTGGATTGATACTTTTCAATACAAATGAAATAAACTGAAATTGAACACTCATGTGAGATCCTTGTCACGCTACCCTCATCTGAATGGCGAGAGTTCTAATTAAGAAAAAAGAAGAGAACAAAGGCCAAACCTTAGTCCTCTGAAACCACTGGAACAAAATACTGTAACCTGTTTTTACTTTTTTGATTGTTTGTTCTTTTTTTCTTTCCAGCAGCTTTACTTGGAAACTGATGATAAACACAGAATTATTGTCCTTTTATCCCCTCAACCATTAAGTATTTGTTAGAACACCACATCATTCTTAAATTTTACTAAACGTAGATAATAAAGTCTCTGCAGCATCCTTATTTTTCTATACAAATTCTAGAACAGGGCAATGGGTCTTATAGACAGTCTGCCAATCAGTCTGGAATACAAGCTTTCCCTTGTCTGATTACTCACATTATCACACCTTAAATATACTTCATTCATGCCATCAGCAACAGGAATTAGTAATTTGATTCCAAACTTCTTTGCTGCAACATTTACATCTGGTACAACTTCACATCCTAGATCACAGAGAATCAGAAATAAATGAATTTATTTAATTACTACATCACTAACTTTAAGTGCTGATTAATATTAAAGAACAGTACTTAATGGTTGTTTTTCTTTGAGATCAAGGGCCAAGACTTTTGAAGCTGAGGCCTAATGAGAGGTTTCTGTTCTGGTTCACTGCCTGGTTGGCTTGCCAGGGTGATGAATGCTCTGAGCTGAAAGAGCATATTAGTCAATGTGGAAGAAAAAGGATGCAAGTGCTCTCAAAACCTCAGCCTGATCTTAGGAAACACTCAACACTTAAAATAGAGAGGAACTGATAAGATAGGCACTTTTGGAAATTTTACCCTAAGTGACTTGAAAGCCTGGACTCTATTTGCAGAAGAAACTTAGTACTGCCAGTGGGATGTAGGTGACATCTACAACGGAGCTGGCCAGTTCAGGGATCCCAGAGAACTCTGGGACCTGGTATTTCATGTTGATGGTGGTGTTACAGGCCTTCTGGATTCAGCTGGAGTCGAGGATGCCTACAGTTCCCCTTTGTGTCAAGGGACACCAAGGCTGTGGACTACTTGGTGAGGTTCCAGCCACCCTGGCTAGTTTTACCATGCATTTATCTGACCTACTGAGGATATGCAGATAGGTATGCAGAGCCATTTGTTCACAGGGGTCAATCTTCTTTCTATTTCAAAAGTTTCTTCTAGGATGAATCCTGGGCATCACTGTTTCCCTGACGCTGAACAAATGATGTCCCTGCAGGAGTAGATGTAGATGGAGGCTATATATGGTGCTGGTGTTTGCCCTGTGTACACCCGGCGTTTCTACTCCAGAAGTACCTAAAGCTAGTTGTAGCTATGGAAATCCCCACACATGAAATGAGCAAGGCCCAAAGAAGGTCTTGGAGCTGTCCATGCACAGCAGTATATACATGCAACCTATGGCATTCTTGCCCACTGCATCATCCATAATCCTTTACTACCAGTGTGCGTTTGCCAAGGACAGAGGTGAGTACTACTGTTTAACATAGAGTAAAAATATTTGGAAATAGAAATGTCACACAGATCACATTCTCTATCTGACTCATCTTTAAGTGAATTCAGCAGTACATGGCATTTTAAAGCCAGGTCCAGATAATCTTGGTTTGGGCTAAGCTATTGAATCCTTTTTGTTTAGGCTTCTTCTGCAGATTCGGTCTGCCTGCTTAGGAGTCTCAATAACTGAAAAAGTTCCAAGAATAAGTGCTACTATGCTTGCCTTCTTGAGTCTTGCAGGGATTTCTTGATTTATTCAGTTCACGAGCGCAATAGAAAAAGGAAAGAAAGGAAAAGGAAATTCCTACCTTTTAGGTTTAGTTTCTCAATAGGTTCTCCTTGTGCGGATTCCTTGTTTTTAAAATAAGATACTGAAGTGTCTTTAAAGACAAACCAATATGGCTTGATAGCTTTGAGTGACAGCTTCCTTGGCCTAAAAGGAAAAAAAAATCACATTTGTTTATATGGAAGTGTACAAATTGCTAAGTCACTCACAAATATTACTGTGGATCTCAAATTGCTTTGAGGTCATACACATGGCTTTAGTTGGGTTACTCATACTTGTGTCAATGAGGGGGGTGGCAAACACCTGGAACCAACATCGCACCCAAGTTTATAGAGGTTCTGTAGCACTCCAAGAAAAGGTGATAGTTTAAGCCATCTTCTTCCACTAGGGCAATGTTACTTCAGCTCCTCACACAGGTATATAGATGGATAAAATCCTCATTTTAATTATCTTACTTAATTTCAATACTTTGCTAATGCAAACTGATTTCTTTCATAGAGTAAATTTAAAAATACCTGCTTTGGAATTGAGAATTAACTGATAGATACTAATAGTCAGACATAATCATTGTGCCTGCCCCACCTCTCTTCAATAAGAGATAAAAATCATAATTAATTCTACTAAGAATACACTAACAAAGCCACAGGTGGCAGGGGGTGGAACAGGGATGGGGAAATGAAATCCCAGGTTCAGTATAATTCAGGAGGGAAAACCAGAGGTATTAGCATTACTTTAGTAGAGAAATACTTCACAACTAGCTACAAAGGTCAACAATGAAGTTAAAAAGAAGAAAAAAGAAAAAAAAAATTCCACTGTCTGTTTAGTACTTCCCTTTAAACCTAAGATGATGGTACAAAGAGTCGACAGCTAGCTGGAAAACAGTAGTTTATTATACCCACTCTTGCCTTCTCCAGAGGCTTTCTGGAAATCCTAGTTTAGAATCCTTTCTAGAAAATGGTGATTTTTATGTTTAAATTAAAAAAAACCCCTTGGATTTTCAAAACTAGCAAATATTTTTAATTTTCCAATACAGTGACATTCTTCAAAAATAAGGGACTATAATTTTTTTAGACTACTAAAATTATTTTTCTATCCAAAAAAAAGTTGCTGAAAACTTTTTTGAAAGCTTTTTGTTGGTTTAAAAAAAATACTGTAATTCTCCACAATATTGTCACCCACCTGAAAGCAGTATTTACTACTGTGCTAATGTGGTGCCTACTGTGAATAAATGTGAATAAAAGTTCACTATATGAATAGAGTCAGCGGTATGACATGCAGAGCTTTGCATTTAGGTTTACAATTAATCAAATAATTATAGTAACAAAATGTTGTTCCCTTAAAGAAATATTTTACACCTTACCTAGTTTCTACAATGTCTTAGGTTTAGTAAGTGATTTATCATGGACATAGGAAATCTTTCATGATGAAAACTAACTGCTGAATGCTTTTAAAAGCAAACTGCTGTACTGCTGAGGAAAAATAAACACTCCATTGTTAGAGGCAAGTAACTGACAGAACTTAAAAGGCTTAAATTTCCTTTCATCTTAAGCCACCTTAGTAATTTGAATGTCAAATAAAATTCCTAAATTGGAAATTAATAATTAACAATTCTTAACAGTTAACAACAGTTAAAAATTTTCAGGTGCAATTTTCAGTTCACTGACTACAAGTACAATTTGTTAACAGAATGAATCTGATAAATATTTGTGCAATAGAAATCTTTATCTTTCTAAAACACAAACACTGTTTCGTGATAAAAGGCATTACAGACTTGAGGTCACTGCAGTCATTTAAATAACCCATAAATCAAAATATTATAGTGGGATCACAGAAACTCATTTTGATATTAGAAAAAAACAGATTCCGTGTTTGGTTAGAAAGGGGTAATTTGTTTGTTTCTTTTGTTTAAAAAAATAAATAAATCCTCAGGGTTGCTTTCAGAAATTCCTCTCAGGGAGAGCTGAAAGTTTTTTCTAGTTTTTCATTGGAAAAAACCAGTAAAGTGTGATTGAAAACAAAATTGTAGACTCTCTTGTTTAGAGTTGATGATTGATGAGCACTAGGAAATATGAAGAGCCTGGTCTTTTAATAAGTGTAATTATAGCTACCCCAGCACCCCAAGAGCTAGAAAGATTTGCTGAGAATCTTGCTCAGAAGCAGTAAGAGAAAGATTTGAAGAGGATGATATTAGGCTAGTTAGATCTATCTGGTATATTTGTTAATTTAGAACTGTAGGATCTAGAATGAAAAACTCAAGAGATCTCTTGTATGCTTAAGCTTTTTGGTTTGTATATTTTATTATTAGTTTTAATAACTCACCTAACTAGCCTGAGATTATCGGCAAGTTTCGGGATGTCTGTGATGTCCTCCTATCAGGAACAATTAGGAATAATTTTAGTACAATGCACTTTGTAATGAAACTCTGTAAAAAAATCAGGAACCAGGTAGGCTCATCAGAGTCAATGCATTTGACACAGTGAAAGCAATTCTGGGATCCGAAAGGACCTACCAAAATGTTACTTGCGTTTCCACCTTCCAGTGTCACTTCCAGATTAGAAAGAGCAGCTTCTACTTCATCTACTTCTGATTCACAGGTGAAATCTTGTGCCTCTGATGATAATGATAACTTGCTTACATGATACTAAAATAAAACATCAATATCAAGTAGTTAATATATCAATTAGCAACACACAATCACAGCATATGAAAATAGGCCATTTGGTCTTCTGGGTCTTGGACAGCTGCGTAAAGTTCTGCAGCATGGAACCATGGGGTTTTTCACAAGGAAGCAGGTATGTCCACTATGATCTCCACTGCAATTACTGATAACAGTTTCCTATTTTGATTGCCAGTGTTTCTAGTCCTTCACTGTATAATCGTCCCTGTTTTGTAAGGCTGACTCAGTGCTAACATTGCATCCCCAGTACTGTCAGCTGTAAGTGCCATCCATATCAGGTGGAAACTTGGCAGCGAGGTTCTGTGGTGTTCTGCAGTGTGGCTGTGAATTTTTTGGCAGCTCCATTTACATTTAAAAGGAAGGAATTTATTATTAAGAAACATTTGTGCCTTATTACCTACAGTCAGGGACTAAGCCACGCTAGGTCATGTTAAATTTCTATGTACTCCATAGCCTCCCTATCTTCACTTTGTGCTATAGCTTTTTTTCGGTCTGTTGTGAACGTATGTATTTATGTATTAGAGAAATTTTCAGGAATACTATGCGACAGGATGGTTGTGAGTATGGGAAGCAAAACTTCATAGTAATCCCCTTCAGAATTAACTGGTATCAAAGTTACATCCTGGGTACAGTTTGCTTTAGATAATGTTAGTAAATGATTCCGTAATGGTATGTGTCAGTTTGAATAATGGTGAGCTGCTACTGAATTTAGTTGGTTTAGTTGAAGGATGCTGCTTATTGTTTCTCACTCAAATAGCAGACCCCCAATCCAAGCAGAGCTATTGGCCTGGGCTCTATCCTAGTCTTGTCCTAGCTTGTGCTTGCCTCCTGAAGAAACAGGTTTTGCAACTTGGGTCAAGTACATGCCTGTAGTGCAGCGAAGATCAACATTTCTTCCTCTGTGCAGTCAATTTCTTCTATCAGGATGGCCCAACGGGCTTGTTCATATATTTGGTTTATTCGCACTGCATCATACTGTAGCAAAAAAGAACAACATAGGTCATTAACGACCATCAGGATGAAGATTCACGATGAGGTGCAGGTGATCTAACATTAACATTGGGCTGAAGCCATAAAGGTTGTTTCCTTCCTCCTGCCACCTCTGCCCTGCTGTATGTTCCCATCCTTCTCTTCTACTAGCTCATGTGATTGTGTGTAGGGTCACAGTGGCTTGCTGATCCAACCAAGAATTAATCAGGAGTCCTTGGCTGAAGCAGAAGGGGAGATTAAGACATCCCCTTTTGTAGTAGTAGGCCTTGGGCTGGTTTAACTGAAATGTGAAACCACACTGTGAGAGTGAAAATAATGTGACATGGCTGATATGAACGTGACAGTCAACAGCTTGCTACTGCCAAAAGACAGAAACTCTTACTCCTTACTTCCCCTCTTCTGCTCTTGGCTTTTTCGGTTCTGGCTCTATCTTTGCACTGGATTGACATTTGTCAGATCCTGCTGTGAACTGCTTTAATTCACTATCCATTTTTTGGATAGTGATTGTTCCTTATTATCTGCTTGGTTATTAAGCTGAAGTGCCTCACAAAAATATTTGAGCCCCAGAGCTGGTGAAAGGTAGGTGATGGGAAGGTAAACCTTGGAGCATGACCTCTCCCAGTGCTGGCAAGCTATTAAGTTGCCTGAAGCTGTTTTGTGTTATTTCGTCCTATGGCTCCATGGCTGGCTGGGGCAGAGAAGGAAAATGTTTGGGCTGCTGAAGTTGAGACATGTACTTGAATTTTAGTGGGGATGGCTTTTCACCCCAAACCATGCAACCTGAACTAGAAAGTGCCCTTCTGTTTATCTGAGATGCCTGAAATGAGAGAGTTTTACAGAATTTACAGAAAATAACAACATGAAGGCCAAATCCTCTAAAATTCATGTTTCAACTCTTGCTGATTTACGCCGGTCAATGATCGTGCTTTAATTTCACTAAATGTATCACCCCAGCCGTAAAAACACTGGCTTAACACAACCACCATGACTGACTTTCAGTGGAAATAAAGGCAAATGAGAGGCAACCTGAGAAAAACATTGAAGTGATTTTTGAAGACTAAGTCTTGTTTCAAATGGGACTTAAACACTGTTGCTGAACTTTCCAAAGGTATTTAATCACCCAGTCATATTGAAACAAATTTAAATGTCTGAGTGCTTCTGAGGGCTTCAGCCCAGAAGAGCTTAATACTCAGTGAAGGGCAGTGGAACATAAATGTAATTTTTAAGTCCATTTTCAAAAACAGGGCTTATACCTTTACAGCATTTAGGATACTGTTGGTTTAGTTTTCCCCTTAGTTTTTCTTGTTAAAAGAGAGGCAGAAAGCAAGCCAGCTCCTCTGGAAATCTGGATACTGTTTCTGGTGCTCGTCAGATCTCATCGTTATACTTTAGATCTTATTTCAGGTGAGGAATGGTGATTCAGTGTCCAGAGGGGAAAAGTGCAGCCTTAGCTGAGGGGAAGAAGTTGAATTTGATCTCTGAAGGGCCTGTAACAAATCCTAGCTAAAATCTGGTATCCTTGTGCTATAGCTTCTTGACATGAAAGCAGGCAAACAATGAATAGCAATAAAAACAAAGCTCTTACTTTTGGATTCAAATCAAAGAAAGTGTAATATTTAAAGCGTAAAAGAAGTTGATCGTCCTCCAGAATGCCTTGTTCCATAAGTGATCGAGATGAATCTAGCCAGCTGTGGAAGAAAAGAACCCACAGATTCATCTGTACAGGAAAAACTATCACACCTGCAGAGCTCTAATGTAATTGTAACACAAAAGTGGGAACAAATAGCTCTAATTTCTGCAAGTCTGGGGAAAATTGATGTAGCTCAAGAAGCTGGAACGTTCGTATGGATTTCCCACTTTCATTGTATAAACACAATACCTGCAATCTTATATTTTTCTCCAGCATTATTGAAAACATCAGGAGTAGATGCCAGAAACTGAGCAGTAACTAGTTGTGGGGTGACCTATGCCAAGAAGATTCTTTCTTCTTGATCTCCAGAAATGGGAGGTTCATTTAAGCCAGGGCAAAAGTGTGCCTGTAATATTTAGAACTCCTGCTTTTCATTTCAGTATTTGCTGTTTTATAATTCTAGCTAGTTCTATTCTCCAGTGAAATCCAACGAAAATATTGAAGTCACTGTTAAACACTCCACAGATCTAAAAATGACAAGCCACACTTTAATGCTAGAGAGACAATTCTCTCAAACACTTGCACCACTAAACCCCCTAGTGCTCTGTATTATTCTATGGTGAACAATAAGCAATGTTTGCTTGTGCGTAACTCAGTAAGTCACCTATTTGTAATGCATTAGAGCTTCATTGAATTTATCCACATGTATATTTCTACTGTCAATTTAAAGCCTTTAGAGTTTGGTATCCAAACTGTCCTTTAGCTGTGCCCACAGTGCTAAACTGCATTTGCCTTCATCTAACAACAGAATTTAGTCCAGAGCCTGCACAATTGCATCATTCATCACTATAAAACAAAATTTTAAATTTGTTTAAATTTAAATTTGTTACAATTTAAATTATATTTAATTTAAATTAAATACAAGAAAGTTGTATAAGGAAAAAAGATTAAAAAAAGAGTAAGTATTTCTGAAACAAAACCTAGATCAAAGCATGTTTTTAAGTATGAATATAGCCATATATCAGGGGTTTGTTTTCAAATTCTGCTTTACGCTTAAAAAGGTGGATTAATGCTACCCTTGTTAAGCCAGCTCACAACGATCTCAGAGAGGCATCTTACCCTGCATTGAGTTTGGCTTTGTCAGCTAAAGTCCGAGGCTGGTACATCTCCGCTAGTGTTTCTGGAGAACAGTTGGGATGACTGAAGGCAAGGATGCTGCAGTTCTGCTCAGTCAAGGGACTGTCGCTGAACCAAGTAATTGTAGAAGAAGATGGTGTCCCACTGATGGGATCATAAACAGGTGTCATGGTTTTACTGTAGAAACCTGGACTTCCTGCAAGTTAAAAGAATAATGTGTTATTCCAGGGAAAACTGCCTTCAGACTTCGGTAGTCTACCACTTTCCATCATAAAAGACCAACCCTTTTCTTTCAAGACAATCTCCTATCTCTGCTGTTGACAGCAGGCCTTGTCCTTTCACAGGTGAAGTGACCTCAGGGACAGAAGTGCTCTTTCTTGTTCTGTGAGATATCTCAGTTGTATTGGAGATAGGAAACACATACTCTCAAGCCTTTATTTCTTGTTTTCCTTGCAGGTTGCCAAACTTGTTGGATATTTTAAGACTCGTCTCACATTTTCAAAGACCAGCAGCACATCCTGTGTGCAGGGCTGCAGCTGGTCACCTGTTTTCTGGTATGGCCTTTCTCGTATCAATGGAAAGGAAAACATTTTAAAAGACAACAGAAAAATATTGATATATTGGAGATTTCAGTAACTTCTTGAAGCCACTAGTTTCAGGCCAACTGTGTCTCTCTGACTACCATCCTACATCAAACTGGTCTCTCTGGTTTTAATTGTGTAAAAAAGAATTTCTTCTTCTTTTTGACTTTCAGTCAGAAGAAGAAAATCATATTGATTTGTCATTACCTGATAATCCAGAACTCACTGGAGAATTACACAGGTTTAAAATATCTTCTGTAACTGGTTCTTTGCTGTTCTTGTCTTTTTTCTTTTTCTTTTTGAGTATGTCTTCTGATTGCTTCAACAAAGAGAGTTCTTCTGACCGTCTAATATCTACAATGGCAATTTGGGAAGTGAAGCAAGATGAAACATTTGAAACTTAGCAGTTTATATCCAAAAAAAGCCCATGGTTGGTAATAGCATTTGGGGAAGCTCCATGTTGCAATCTGCATTTTATTTTTAGCAGGTTGAAAGCAGTAGTCGTGGAAAATCCAGTAATTCAGTAACAAGGCCAAAGACTTTGGGCTGTAAGAGTGAGTTTTGACAGGATTTAAGCCTGCTTTTGTAGCAAGCCTAACTGTATTTTAGAACACCAGGGAAAAACTCTTTCTCCCTAATGGCTCTGCAATCACCTTTGAGCATAATAACACCAAAGAAATGTCTGACTTATGAATAAGCAGGAACAGAAATGGAACCACTGTATTGGAAGTTCATGCCTTTTATTATTCACTATATTTCACGTACAAGATTCTGTCTTGGCTATATACTATTTCATAATGCACTACTGATTCAGACACGTATTGTCAGTTGCAAACCTGGCACTTTGTTTCTGAAAAACACTTTTTTCCTGGGGTAAGCAAAGACATTTTTGACAGTATTCACTCATGAGGAAAGTTACAGGGTTCCTGTCCTGACTCAGTCTGGAAGAAAACTGTGGGTAGAAATACTTAATTCAGCCAAATGTCAGTTGAACAATTGTGGCATCATTTTATCAGAGCTGTTAAGTATAATAAAGACATACTATACCTTTCACAATCCACTGCTAGAAGATGAAATTGAAAGCTGCATTGTGGTCAATATGAGGCGGTAAATTCCTTCTGAAGATTAATGTGTTACTGGGCTAAGCTTTGAAGATCTAAATTAAAATGAGGATTTTAATCCCCATTTTACCCTAAAACTAAGGGATTCTGAAGGCTGTTTGGAGACTCAACTTACTCCTGTTGATCACAGGCACACAGGTCTGGCATGCTCCAAAACCTCATCTCTACTTGGAGGTGCTCCATTATTGGAAAGAGTAGAGACTTGGGGACTCAGTGCTGCAACACATTCATGGGCTTGTGTGAGGTAGTTAGGTATGCCCTGGTCTGAAGAGGTTTGCGCATATAAAAGTTTTGAATATTTAAAACGTGCTCCTTCTGAAGTGAATACATATAAGCGATAGGGCAAGTTGAATATCATTAATGCCAGTGAAAATAGGTGATAAATCAGTTGACACCAGTAAAATTGCCTATGATGAAGGCTGGTGTAGGAGACTGGTAAGCTCAAGCTCTTAGTCAATGGCGTAGAATAAGCAGGACTGAGTCCCGCTCAAGGAGGACAAGGATCCCTACAAAACCGTCAACAGGCCTTTGACTGTCCAGTACTCCTGCAGCTCATGGGACACATTTCTGATACTGTTTGCGTCAGTTATCACAAAACTGAGAACGACTGACATGCACTGGATACTAAAACCCAAAAATATCTGTCTTTTGATCTTGGGTCAACTCCATCAAATTTATCCTTGAGCTAAACAGTTTTGTGAGTAAGGACTTCACATCAAAACAAAGTCACCTAATAAAATGCTCCAACTCAGTTGCCAGAGGGGATTTAGCTTTACTTACTGAGAATTTTACAGATGTCACTGACAGCTTTGAATACCATAGAAGAGAAGCTAACTTTCAGTCTCACAGTCTTCATGTTTGGCAAGCGAAGCCGCAGCATTTTGTGCTGAGTAGTAAAGAACAGCTTAGCATCTGCCTGCACCCCGCATTTATCGAGTGTCCAGTGGGTTTTCAGAAGCCAACATTTTTTTTGCTCCCACCAAAGAGCATAGTCTGACCAATCTTGTGATATTTCTAGGAAAATACAAAATGGTTATTAATAAACTATGAAGCAAATATACAAAAAACTTGGTTTGGAAACAGTGCTCTGCAAACGGGAATTTATTTACATTAAAGCAGCAACTACAGTTCCTGAGACCTAGAGCCCATTTGCTGAATACTTGTGGCAGTCACTGGGAACTAACTTCGTTTTCTCTGAAGAGTTAACCTGGGTGCTGACTGTGGCACTACCTTAATCTTGCACATATCTGTAGGGAAAGTGCTTCTCCTGAATCTGGTGCTATACATGGTCCAATGCTGCTTGGATTGTGCTGGTATATGGACTAGTAACAAGGGTAGCCACTTCACAACTTGACAGCGCAAGCTGAAAATCCTCCTGCAAAACCTTGTGCGCACCCGATGGGCACAAGTTCTTCCACAGTCTCCTGGGAAGCACCACTGAACGGCTCGGCTCATCTCTATAGTGTTAAGAACCAGCAGTGAGTCCCTTGAAGCCTTGGTGACAACAGCTAAGGGCTGTTCTCAGCTTTTCTCTGTGGCTGCGAACATGGATGTTCACCTGAGTGCAGCCCACTTAGGACAACTTTACAGTGGCAACATTCTTTAAATAATCAAGGAGAAGAATTATTATTTTGGGAGTAAGCCCTGGGACAATCAGGAAATAGTTAACAAGCTCTCTAACAAATATGATAACCTTCTCTACCACACAGGATGGAGAAACTTGTAAGAGAAGTAGAAACTTGTAAGGGAGGTAGAATGGGCATGATGCAATATGGTACAGTTAAATCTTTTATTAGCCTGTGCAGGAGGGCAGGCTGGTGTGACTGACCAGGGACTGGCAAGGGTTGTCTACAGAAACTTCTCAGAGAAGACAAGGCTGCCAAGAGATGACTGTCTTGTTTCACTAATATGGACTTGCCTGTGTTTTGCTTAAGTAAAAAATGTTTGTGTATTTTGTACTTCGAAAACATACAGATAAAGTAAGGCTTGCTGAATCAAGAACAGATAGAAGACTTTGTTCATGACTTACATTAAGAGTTTTCGAGCTTTTCTCTGATTATGTTTGAGCAGTAAGCAATCCTGACTGGAAGGTGTCAAAACCTTGACTAAATCAGCATGAGAAGCACATGCATAAGAAAAGAGATAAAGCATTGCTGCTCTCAGTTTCATGGGGAATTCCAAGATTAGATGACTTCCCAGATGCCAATGATGTGTAGTAGCAGGTAAAGTTTCTGTGTGATCTTGGTCAAGTTGTTTCAGTCTTCTGCATCCTTTCTTGTTCCTCCTCATTAGCTCTGCCACGTAGAGACTATCCCTCACCATGTCTATAACATGGTAGAGGCCTATCCTATTTTGGAGTTTCTTGGTAAAAATTGTGTCTCAAGAGAGCTGCTGACACAAATTGCTTAGTTACAGATTTGCTTTAAATATTATTTAATATAGAAAGCTTTTCACACTAATTATAAAAATACTGTGAAAAATTAGCCTTCTGACCCAGTGAGGACTCCAGCTATCATTGGTGTGCTCGCTGAATTGTGTGTGTAAGTATACAGAGACATTGGTAGAAATGTATCACAGATTTACTACCTGCTTGAATGCTAGAAAAGAGATTCCTTGATAAAACCACTATCTCCAAGTAGAGCTTTTCCATCACGAAGGGTGTTGGTGTAAAAATGTCCTTCTGTTGAATGGGAGCCTTTTGGAAAGAATATCTTGTATATCTCCCTTTTTTTTCCCTTCAAAATCTGTGTTTGAGAACAAAACCTTTCACTTGGCAGTAAGAACTCTGAAATTATTAAGCTGCCGACTTTAAATTTCTTGATGCTATTTTGCTGAAGGGTTTTATTATAGTTCACTTTTTCTCTTCTTGTTTGTCTGAATTCAAGCTATGTAAAAAAGAATAAAGTTTCATGGAGGTTTTTTTGAAATTTTTTTTTGTTGCCACAAATCTTGTATTTCTAAAGCAATGCGTAGTAATACAAAGTTCATGGTGTTCCCACTTGGCAAGTCTAATCTAGCAGACAGGTGCCTTTCTGTGTGACATTGGTGACTGAAGACTTCTAGATTTAAGAATTCCAGGAAGAAAACCAATTCTTGAAGAATGAGTTGCATATGAAAAGCCTGTGGCATTGATATAATAATCAAATACCATACTATCTTGTCTGTATCTATTACTCTGCAGCCTCAGAGTGCAGGTGATTATTTTGGGACACAGCTCCATTTGATGGCTTTGAGTTAAAGAAACCTAGATTCTCTTACTGCCTGTAGCGCTGACTTGCTGTGACTGTACACAGGACATTTAACCTTTCATTTCCCATCTTTGACTCGGCCAGTCTCTGCTCTTCACAGCTGTTCCCTACTGAACATATGCAATGGATAACATAGCTCAGGTTTTGGCTAGAATGCCACTATAGCACAGGAAACAGTAACTTTTGAAGTGCCTTTGTAACAACTAATCCCATCTCTTTGACTGCTGCAGGTGGATAAATAGGGCATCAGCTACCTTTATTGCTCCACAAACTAGCCACTTGTAAGTCTATGTGGAAAGGGAGTTGAATAATTAGTCTAGGCCAATTATATTTGTCTAACTGGAAGACAAAAACAAACCAAAGTTTTGTTTGCACTGTGATAGTATATGGGTTTTAGGCACAGACAGGGAGGGGTTCTGGCCACATAAAAACCCTGCGTCTGCAGCACCTACGTGCCCAGTGTACCGTTACAAAGAAGGAAGTGAGGCAGTGCCATTTCAAAATGGCAGGAGCCTCTTTTTGTAGAAGGAAAGCTGCGTGTATTATTTTAATAACACTGTGTAAATTAAACAGGTCTTTACTCACTGATTTGTTCTACTAATTTCAGCATCACTCCTCCAATATGAAGGTCCCCTGTGACCCGCAGTAAAAATTCCTTTTGTACCTCTTCATGTTGATGATCAACTGTCACCAAGAGCTCCCAGGAGTGAGACCCATATTCACTTGAGGAAATCATTTTGGAAAGGTCTATGTAAGCTCTACAAAAACAAGACAAACAAACAAAAAGGATTTTTTCCCTCCACTCTCTGAAACAAATGCATTTCTCCATAGTCTCAAAGTACATCCATGCTGCCAAGACTTCGCAGTAGCCTTGGCTGGAACTTCAGATATGTAATCTTGTTACCTCTGAACTAGACTCTGCTCTTGTGATTACTCTTGCAAGATAGGCATGTGGGATTTTTTGGTTTTATTTGACACCCCCCCCCCCCAACTCAAGTGTCTCCAGTTGGGTAGAGATAGTCCAGTTTTACCCAGGTTTTCCCCACTATACAGTGCTAATCTGTCAGTCTGGACACTGTAAAGCCTGCAGTTGTGGGTGGGATCTGTTTTGGCAATCTGTCCAGTGAACAAAGGAATTTCATTGACTTATACACTTACAGCTGTAATTTTTGCTGCAAATGAATGTTTACACTCGGAGTTCTGCCACCTTGGTCCCATGGGACCAAAATCAGAGAGCAATTTTACCTATTTGAGTAGATGTAAGGTGAGACAAATAGCTTTAATGGCTCTCTGCCAGCAATATCTAGGCACGTATCTGCAGTTTCTTGCACAGAGATGTAGGCATGTATCCTGTCTCAGCAGGGTGAATCGTCTGAGATCCCACTGGGCTCCTGCCAGGACAGATAAACAGTAATCATGCCAAGCCAAACCAGAGAAGATGCTCAAAGTAGAAGCTTTGGTTATCATCACTAGAGTTCTGCTAATTACTGAAGAATGAGCTTGTAGGTATAAGGTGACTGATGCTGCAGGAAGGATTTGTGATATTTAACCAATGAGAGAAGATACCAGATTAGCACTCAGTGTCCTGTGAAACTGAACCCTAAGAAACCAGCCTTTGCAGTTGAAGTTTAGGCAATAAAGTGGATGACTTCCATTTATTGCAGACTTTCAGCAGTACCTGAGAACCCAAGTCACAGACAGAGACTGTTAAAGGTGCTGTACACAGACTGCTTCTAACACAAAAAATAACTAGGAGTTGTTTACGAAGAAGGCTAGAGGGACTGTAACAACATTAACAGACTTGTAGTTCTTTTAAAAAGAAGTATTTAGTAATTTAAAACCTTTAGCCTAAAAGTTAGGTCAAAACCAGAAAAATCAAGGACAGTTGTCACAGGTGAGGAGTGAGAGAAGGAACGACCTTTTCTAGGACTGACTGCAGGACAAGATCAGACTAGCTTAGGTTACACTAATGTAAAATTAAGCTAAAGGTTAAATACAGCATGCCTAGAAACAGGGTGAAAATTTAAGTTCACCTATTTGCCCAATTTATAATAGCAAATCTTTATGTTACTGATTAGATAATAAAAGAGGTTTTTAGTGCCAAAAGATACCACTCCCGGGCAGAGCCCAGTACAATGTTAATTCCGATGTTCCCTTCCAGAGGTGCAAGGAGGTTCTTGTACCTGAACAGCCAGCCTGTTACAGCTTAATCTTCCCCAGATTTTCAGGTGTTATTCATGTTTCTTAATGTCTTATGGTTTAAGAATTTCAACAGGAAGACTTCTGATATTTTGTTAAATTATGTATCATGCAGTATTTGTATTATGGAGTACAACATAAATCAAAGTCATCTAACTGTTTCAGTGGAGTTCTTATAAAATCTGTAGACTTGGTTCCTTGAACTCCTTTGGGCCTAGGCCATGCCTGGTGTCAATCCTACTGATATAAAATTCAATATCAAAGGGATAATAGAAATATGGTGGTAATGACAAATTCTACTAAAAAGGAAAAGTGATTCCAAAGGTAAAGGCAATGAAATTGTATCTGTTAAAGATTAGATTGATCCCCCCCCCCAAATGAATGACAATATAAATGAAACAATCTGTCCAGCTCAAAATCATCCCTTTAGGGGAAAATCACCTTACCAAGGAGTTTTGCTAGAACAGTGCTGGGAGTCTGCCCTGAAATTCTAAAATCATGATGACTTATACACAGCCCTCACCCAGCAAACTGCAACTTCATAATCATATGACTCCAAGAGGCTCATTTACACTGAGGAACAAATGCTATTGTTCTTGGATGTGCCAGCCTACACCTTTTCACCAAACAGTTACTAAACCAACAAGGATTGATCCTTATCCAAGAAGTTTGTTTGTTTTGCCTTGGTAAATAAAGACATCGTGCTGGACACTGGAAAACAAATATGGCTCTCAGGCCTCTGGGATAGAGCTGGGATTTTGAATTTGTGCTGCTGTGTGCCACATGGATTTACTAGCTTAGGTATGCATTAGACCAGGGGCTACCTGGTGGAGAGGAAGGGCTGGGCCTGTCCTGAAGGCACAGAGTCCAAGACACAGCTCCTGAGATGGTCTCCCAGGCAGATGAGGCTTTCAGCATGAGGGCAGTACAAGGTGTAGAGAACAGTTATCATTGCACTGTATTCATAGCAAAACAAAAATACTCACTTCAGAAGAGTCAAAATGCCACTAGTCACGCTCCTAACCGTCAATAACAGCTTTAAAAATAAATCTACAGCTGGCCTAAGCATGAGAACTATGTGATTTCATTTCAGGAGGATAGGTATGAAATCTGGCAGAGGAACTATATTTTTTCCTACGCTTAGTCCACTATAAGCTGGTATTGTTACAGAAAAGAAGCAGTCTCATCTGCTTTCTTGTGCCAGTGGAAATATTTGGGAGCTGATCTGGATTTTTTTTTTTTCCTTTTAAAATTTGGTTTAGCTTCCCAGTCTAATTCTGCATACAAATGCTTGTGCTGACACGGGTGAAAATGAGCAGCCCAAGGGGCGGGTGAAACTCTTTCTTCGTTCACGCTGGCTTGGAAAACCATGGCCTCAGCGCAGCTAATCCTGGCACTCCATCATTCCCTAAAGCTGCTCTCCTCCCCACTTCCTCTTCAAACCAGGAGGTTTTAGTTTGATGATAAGAAAACACAAACACTAGTAAATCTATCAGAGCACGCCGCACAAACAAAGCCTAGTCTGGAAAAAGCGTCAAGCTAAGCAACAAGGGCAACTGACTATTGTGTTTACAACCCAAACCACCCCAAACTGCCAGGGCAGGCTGTGCACGCTCCATGTCTTAAAACCTTCAGGTCAAGACTGGATCTGCTCCGGGAACGCGCCCCAATTCCTGGGCTCCAGGCGGGTTGCAGCTGTATGGCCTGGCACAGGGAGATCAAAAAGGCCAGGAACATGTCTTCAGGCTACTGCTGCCTCCAGTCGGTATTTCTGCTGAGCATGTTAGCCAACACAGCTATAAAAAAGCAGCGATTACTCTGCAGATTGAGCTCTCCCTACATTTTAGCCCTCGCAGCCCTGAACTTCCAACTTGGTGTGGAAACGCAGGAGGACGTTACTCGTACTAGAGCGGGAATAGATCCGCTGTAAGGGAAAGGGGGGAAAGGCAGAGGATGGCGTTTCTCTGACTGTTTCTAAGACAGGCAGCGCCCTGGCATCTTCCAGAGGGTAACTGCTGGGAGGCAGGGGGTAAACAGGCGCCGGTCCGCGCTCCGAGGGCAGAGCCGGCGTTTGAGGAAGTGCCAGGCTGCCGCTGCTGGAGTGACCCCGGGGAGGAGGTTCCCCGCGGGGGGCCGGGAGCGGATCAAACCGCAGCGACTGCAAGCGCTGGAAAATTAATAATAATAATAATAATAATAATAATAATAACCTGGTCGCCCGGCGTTCCTCCCCCGGCCCCTCCGCGGGTGCCCGCACGCCGGCCGCCCGGGGACACGCGCACTCTCCCGCCCCGCCCCGCGCTTCCCCGCCGGCGGCGAACAGCCCTTCGCGCCCGCGATCGCTCGCTCACTCACGGTCTCCGATGGCAGCGCCGACCCTCGCCTCCCTGCCCGGCTCCCGCTCCCTTCGCCTCCACCTGGCGTCTGAGAGGCGGGAAGGGGAGGAGCGGCGCCCGGCCCGGCCCCACCGCCGGCACCCCCGAGGTAGGCGGCCCTTCCCTTCCCTTCCCTTCCCTTCCCTTCCCTTCGCCCCGCTCCGCTCCGCTCCGCTCGGCGGGCAGCGCCGTGCCGGCAGGTAGGGAGAAGCCGTCGGGGAGCGCTGTCCTCCCCTCCCCTCCTCGCCGGCAGCCGCCCGCGTCGTTCCCCGCGGTCTCTCCGCCGCAGGGCTGGCGGAGCTTGCTGACTCGCCAGAAGCGTTTGTCTGGCGGTAGCGGCCACCGCAGACCGGCGGCTGCTCGTGCGGCTGGAGCGGCCAGTGGAAAGTAGCGGCGTGAAAAAGGTCTTTCTGGGGGAGGTGGCTGAGGCACGGCTGAAGGCCGCCGGGGGAAGTTGATAGCTACCCTCAAGAACAAAGAGTGGTAAAGCCGTATCTGAAATACCTCCGTATCTCCCTTTCAGGAAGTGAGAGCTGGTGTAAAGGTACCAGAAACACGATTTAAAAGTTAAATATTAACTTTAGGGTCAGTTTGAAACATCTACAAGTCTACTTTAAGACCGATTGGTGTTAGAACATGTAGCTGGGTAGGTAGAAGCCACTCTGCAGTGACCATGGCTAAAAGGTTTTGTCCTTCTGTCCTGAAAGCCTTCCTGTCAGGTGTTGGATGTTGGGTGAGAAACTGGTAGACGTGACTGAAATACTCACGCAAGCCACACTCAGACATGCTGGAGCAAGGAGGGCTTGTTAGGGGACTCCGCCTCTATCTTTAACTGCAACACTGTAACTCCGAGGCCATTGAGCCGCATTCGGTGTACAGAGGGTTGTTGCTTTTAAGCTGCAGTTATGGAGAGATGTGAGACTAGTCAGAGAAAATAAGTTCAGTTGGGAGGGTGCAGCGCCAAAGAATAGAAGGGTGCATTTGTGATGGAGGGATGTGTCACAATGCGCAGAATAAAAGTGGGTTGAATTGGCTGGAACTGGGCAAGTGCTTCTCCAAGAGGCAGATTCCCATAGAAAGCCTTTCTTGCCTTAAACTTTTGACTTGCTTGGTGGTATAGTGACTAGATAAAACACAGTGGGGAAAAAAACCCCCACCCCAAAATCCAACAACACTAAAGAGGAACAGGGAAAATAGAGGAAAAAGTTCTTTCAGATTAAACTCATATCCTGGAAAAAGAACCTCCAAAGGCTGT